TTTCTCTTGTTTCCTTTTCATGGTATTTTCAGCAAAGCTGGGGAGGAAGAAAAGAAATGAAAATGTATTAGGATTAATTTTGTATTATTGGTAGAGTCATTTAAAAGCTTGAGGAAAGTAAAGTTTTGAATTAATCTTTAATATCAGTGCCTTGGGTTGAATGTCTCCCCAAAACTTAATGCCCACCATAACTGTTGAGAGTGGGAAATCCTATTATGGTAATTGAAAGGTGAGGCCTGTGAAGAGGTGATTGGATTGTAGGACCATGCAGTAGTGAATGGATTAAAAATGGTGGTTGGGGGTGTGGTTCTGGGGGCTTTAAAAGAAGAGCACGTGAGAGGTTAGTTTCTCTCTGCTCTGCCATTTTCTGCCATGTGAGACCCCTGGGTCACTGTCACCACCACCAAGGCCCTCACCAGATATGTTCCCTGGAATTTGGATTTCCTGGCCTCTGAAACTATAAGCAATAAATTTTATTTTCTCTATAAATCACCCAGTTTCACATATTTTGTTATAAGCAACAGAAAAGGACTAATACAATCAGTGATTGATTGAAACATATTTTCATCATCCTTATGTTGAAAAAAAACAATGTATACATCAATTTATTGCTGAATTATTTGTCAAAAATAATGATATACTATTAATATTTGTAGGGTTTACTTTTATGAATAAGGTTAGTTATTGCTCTCAGGTTAAACTCTCCAACTTCTCAGTGTCTCTGGTATGATGGGAACACCCCTTAAAATCATTAATATAGTGAAACACTCTCCTAAGTACTATTCTGGTAAATGTTTAGCAACTAGCAGTTAGGGGGAGAAAGTGAAGAAAGCCCTGCCCTGATTTCTAGTGTTTTCCATGTTCTGTAGTGTAAATACTCCCACTATTGTCAATTTCAAGCTCAAAAGGTCATGTCACTGCACTGCAGAGTTGGGCAGAGATGTGCACATTCAGCTGTCCCTGGCTGGTGGCAGCAGCTCCTCTACATGCTGCATCTTTCTGCTGCAAGAGAGTGGGTTAGACAATGTTCCCTTATATCATAAGCAAGCAGGTTTTCTGAGCATTAAAGGTGATGTTAAATAATATCAAGGTTACTCAAGAAAATTTATAAACTGATATATCATGATACAAAAATAGCTTTCTTACTGGGTAATTTTGCAGGAAGGGCACATAGCACACAATCTTTGGACTACACCCTCTTGGGTCTGGATTTCCTTTGCCCCTGCTAACAGAGCTTGCCCATAAACCTCTCCCTAATCCCTGTTAAATTACTCCCTCCATTTGCTATGCTTCAAAAATTCTTGCAGAAAGGGCTGCTATACTGACATGTCATCTCTCAGCACCCATGCCTGTGACAAGGGAAAAGGTCATGCCTTCAAACATTAGCATTGCAAAGAAGCCTCAGTGATGATCCCTTTTTAGAAATCCTTTTGACCATTCCTTTAAAGGGATGAAAATACTTGAATGGGATAGGAGAACATGGGCTAGCTAATCAGAGTATTTCTGACTAAATGCTGAATTTACTAACCAGAACTAAAATACCCATTGTTGGGGGGCACTCCTTCGAAGGAGCAATGCCAGTAAAAAATAGGAGCATTTCTTGTAGAGTAAGATGGGCAGATTGTAAACAAACCAGAGGTCCATGATCTACTCAAGGTGTTTCTCCCATATATAATGCAATAAAGCTTGTAATTATTAGAAAAAAGAAAAGAAAGGGCAGAAAATGAACAAGTCCTCAATGCAAGGCTGTAGTTTTTGGGTGCAGTTCTTCCAGTCGCTTGTTCTAAAGTACTGGGAAGGTACATTCTGTGGGAACACCTGCTTTCACAATGCTTTGCTCCTCTGCATAGCAGCTCCTAAGATAGGACAGAAACCCTTTTTTTGTAACTGGTTCCCTGTCAGCATGGGCTGATTTCCAGAACAGTTTTGCAACCAGAGTTTGTATATATTGTTCTAAACATAAGAGTGTTGCAGGTATCCAAGTCCTTATCAGGAATCAGGAAGGAACCAGGGGGCCACCTTTCAAAGCTAAATTATATGTGGCCTTCACAGTTTTTGATTCATGTTCCTGAGGTTGGAGAGGAAGAATGAGAAGTAAATATTTTCTTCTTGGGTCTATGACAGATTTATCCAGTTTTGCAATTTAGGCCACTTTTTGGTGGCTTTGGTATCTCTAATTGCTTTGCCCTCGTTCCCTATGAAAAAAAAAATCCTGATTAATAGATTTAGGTCAGGTGTTCTTAGTGAAGAAGCCACCACCCTCAGCTCCTCTGTGGTGGCAGCACCATGGTGACCTGGGCTTGTACAGCCAGTAAGCATCCAGCTGGAAAGGCAGGAGGCAGCTCATCCAGCTGGAAAGGCAGGAGGAACGCCTTAGGCCACTAGAAGCTGGAAGAGGCAGGAAGGCTCCTCCCTGAGCCTTTGGAGAGAGCATGGCTCTGTTGTCACATGGATTTGGGGCTTCTGACCTCCTGAGCTGTGAGAGAAGAAATTTTTGTTATTTTCACCATCCAGCTGCTGGTAATTTGTTACAACCATCCTAGGAAGCTAATAAAATATTAAGTATACAATTGAGTTGTACACTTAAAACAGGTGGATTTTATGATATGTCAATTATACCTCAGTAAAGCTGTCAATAAAAATAATCATTTTTCTTTCATAGGCTAGGAGAAGGGAGGGATCAGGACTATAGGCAGGGAAGAGTAAGGCCAATTTTATGCTGGAAGAGGAATTTTGTCAATAAAAATAATCATTTTTCTTTCATAGGCTAGGAGAAGGGAGGGATCAGGACTATAGGTAGGGAAGAGTAAGGCCAATTTTATGCTGGAAGAGGAATTTCACAACATTTGTGGGCAACTCTCTTTGAAATGTAAGACTCAGGGCCGGCCCGGTGGCACACTGGAGAGTGCGCCGCTTGGGAGTGCGGCGGCGCTCCCGCCGAGGGTTCGGATCCCATGTGGAGACCGGTTCCCGCTCACTGGCTGAGCGTGGTGCGGGCGCAACACCGAGGGTTGCGATCCCGTTGCCGGTCCCTGGTACGGGTGCGACACCAAGGGTTGCGATCCCGTTACCAGTCAGTAAAAAAAAAAAAAAAAGACAAAAAAAAGGAAATGTAAGACTCAGAGTGCCTCTTTCCTGTCACTAATTTGTTCACATCACATCTTGTTATGTGGTCAATGGTGTGGCTGCTGCCTGTGGAGATACTTCAAAGTGTAGATTCTTTCACGGATGTCCAGGCTATAGAACTGGTAGGTCTCTGACTTTCTGTTATATGTCTCAAACCTCTCTGGTAGGCCATGGGGGAAGACGTGACCTGGTATGTGCCAGTCTTAGAGGAAGCCACAGTGTTTCTGTGGTCAGGTGCCCAAGGAGTGCTAGAGGGCTTACCAGGTAGACAACAAAGAGCACAGTGTGAGCTTGACCTTAGAAATGAGAGGGAGTCTTTCTTCCTGTGATTGGGGAAATGAAGTAAATAACAGA